TGTTTTCTGAGTGACGCACGGCCAGGCCAACCACAGGTAACTAGGGTCAGCCGACGTCACAGCGCTAGCTGGAGGCAGCAAAACAAAGGGGAAACTGGAGGCGGCCCATTCAAACCAGCGCAGATTCGGCTACATAAGGAGCTTAAATATCGTCTTGTTGTGATGTTGGGTGCCAGAATCGATGTAATACAGCCTCAAATTAGAAATTTGATCGCATATCTGCTGCCACTGCCAGACAAAAATCCGACGACAGCTGTGGTTAAACGTGATAAAACGAGCAGACTGGACAGAAACGATCGTCAAAAATGCTCGCGTTTGCAGCGCACACTTCTTATCAGAAAAGGTTAAATAAAGTATTTTGTTGTTATGGGTGTGTCTACAGATTTCTTGCCATATGTCTATGTTTCTTGCATCATTTTGTGGTTAAAGTTAACCTTTTCGACATGTTTCCCTGTTGTCTTTGCTCAGCAACAGCATGGACGTGATGTTGTCTGGGGGTTTGGCAAAAGGAGAGTGGGACTGTGGGCGGTGCTCAGGGTGGTGACTGAAGGCGGTGACTGTGTAGTTCTGAAGTCAACTTTTTACGGAAATCACAACGGTTCGTGAAAAATCACAGCTACTTTAAGCAGGCTGTATGAATTTTACTGTGGACTGACTGTTTTGAAACGTATATGGTAGTTACATAGCACCTAGATCTCAGTTATCATGAAAAAAGCCAGGAAATTTCAGTTTTGACAATATGGGACCTTTAATGTCTGTTTTTTTTTTTTGTATATTAGTGTTATATTCCATCCCTACTGTGTTATTCCTATGTATGTCTGCACTATGTCTGTACTTTCTTCTGCAATGGAAGCTCCTGTCGACAAGTCAAATGCCTTGTGTGTGTAAACATACTTGGTAATAAAGCTCTTCTGATTCTGATCTAGATGCCACTTACAGGCTTTAACAGCAAACAGAATATCTCACTGTTTTGTGTACAGTTTTTTTTGAGCTCTCGTGTAATAAAACTGTGGTGTATGCCCCCTTGTATATAGCTAGGAAAATGTGTGCACTCATGCTTCTGTGTGCTAAAGCCTATATATTGAGCGAAAGCAAGTGTGAGACAACGTCATGATTTATCTGTTTTACTCAGAAGTGATCCTCTAACACTTTCAAAAAGTTCAGTTCAGTATACGTTATATGCCCTTTTGCATTTTTGACATATCAACCTTTAACACCAACCTTCAGATAAGCGTCTCTTTCCCATTCAGCCGTTTTACCTCAGTCACCATATTGCTCTTTGATAATGGGAATGAACTGCATCTTTGAAGTCGAGTCACGAGAGATATTAAAGAGGAAAAAAGAAAATGTTAAAGCCATTCCCTGGTGTCATTCCCCCTCTGTGATCCAAATCCATGTTATCAAACACAAATTTGTCATTACAGAATTGAGCTCCACTGCACCATATTCCACCATTAAATTGCCTTGGCTTGGCGGATGACTTCCTAAAGGCCAACTCGTGCTCTGACTGATAGTGGCCTGCGGTGCCCCAGATAAGAATCATCCGCTCGGGCTGAATGAGATGAGGGAGTTGAGTGAGGGAGTTGAGTGAGGGGGTGTTATATGTTACTCACCTCCACCAGCTTGTTGGCGTGTTCGCGGAAGACCTGCGCATACTCCTTAACCTCTTTCTCGTTACCGCTCTTGGCCGCCTCTATCAGCACCAGCAGAGGCACGTTGGTCTCCAGGAAAGAGTCAGATATGTGGTCCATAACAGCCTTCCTTAGCTAGGAGAAAAGAGACAGAGAGAGCAGGGATCAGCTCATGTCCTACATAAACTGTCCAGCACTTGAACTTGTACTTGGAGCTCTGACTGTAGGGCATTTACAAGCGGCAAACTCCAGGTTTAACACATTTTCTAATGGAGAGCTTAAAGGTGGGGTAAGCGATTTTTAAAAAATGCTTTAGAAAACTGATTCGGGCTGACTAGCAAAACAAACTTGTAGCCAATCAGCAGTAAGGGGCATGTCTACTCATGATGTGGAGGAGAGAGCGTTCTGGTGTTAAAAACAGCTAGATGGAGCGCAACGGAATTGAACAGAAGGCACGTTTATAGGTGCATTAGCACCAACACACTGTTACGTAAACACTCTATTCACTTGAGATTCTTCAAGAGGGCCTGTAATACCTGGATAAAGACACCATTCACATCCATCTAAATGGCAGTTTTCCCCTGGAAGTGTGCAATTTGAAATATGCCATTTTGCTTATGGAATGCACATGTTTTGAATCAATTAACAGAGTTGTATATATCTGATGGCAAAATTCCAAACCAAAGTGGTTTTAAGAGGCCTTAAAGGGATAGTTCACTCAAAAATAAAAATTCTCTCTTTAAATGCTCACCATCAAGGTATTCCAAACCCGTAAGATCTTCATTCATCTTCGGAACACAAATTAAGATATTTTTGATGAAATCAGAGCGCTTTCTGACTCTCCATAGACAGCAACACAACTAACAAATTCAAGGCCCAGAAAGGTAGTAAGGACATTGTTAAAATAGTGCATGTGACATCAGTGGTTCAACCGTAATCTTATGAAGCTATGAAAATACGTTTTGTGTGCAATGAAAACTAAAAATAATGACTTTATTCATAAATCGAAGATGAACGAAGGTCTTACGGGTTTGCAACGACAAAAGAGTGAGTAATTAATTACATAATTTTCATTTTTGGGTGAACAAAAATCTTTTAAAAAAATTACCTAAGGCAACAACTACATTGTAATGAAGAAAATAGTTATTTCATAAAAGAGTACATGACTACATTTGACATGGCAATGTTTGGGCATAGCAAGAGAGCAAAAGTGCAAATTCTACAGTACCTTTAAAAAAGTAGCAGGCAAGGAAGGAATAGTAAGCAACTTGAGGTTAAGTGCCTTGCTTATGCCAAGTTCACACTGCACGATTTTCAAAGACGTCGAATCACTGTTGGTTTCACACTGAACGACTATCTGGGGTAGCATTCAGTTGTTGCTGTGTTCACACTGCACGATGGAACGACGACAGGAGGTTACACACTGTATGACTTTACAATAGGAAGAATCGCCGACAGCTCTGTCTGGTGCAGGGTTGCCAGGTTTTCGCTACAAAACCCGCCCAATTACTACAATATACAGTGGGTACGGAAAGTATTCAGACCCCCTTAAATTTTTCACTCTTTGTTATATTGCAGCCATTTGCTAAAATCATTTAAGTGAACGAGCACCGATTTGCCTCCGATTTCGGGCATTTGTCGGCTATTTCGCAAAACTTGTCGGCGAGTGAAAAATCGGGCTAAAATCGTGCAGTGTAAACTCGGCATTAGGGGCACAATGCTAAAAGCTCATGGCTTGCTAATTGCAGTGATCAAGCTAGCAACCTTTAGATCACTAGCTCTGAGCATAAGCCAGTTTCACATCAACCTAAAATACACAAGCATGCATTTTGCCTCAAGGTAAGAGAAAAGCTTAAAATATCTCTTGAAACAGGATATGTGATTATTAACAAGATTACTAGTGTTCTTATAAAACTATACAATCACTGTTATATAATTGCTGATTTTAGTAGCAGAAACACATCATCAGCAATATTCACAGTTATATACAGAGAATACATTGGGGGCTATTCTAATAGGGCAGTAGGTAGAGTCCCATGACACATGTCCTATAATGGATGATGGGAAACACTCCTAACAAGCAATAATTATCATTCAGGAATGCACATATTTTAACCAATTAAAAACCCTGTGATAGGCCATGGTGGGCAGACAGTAATGATAAATTATGGCTAAAGGGGACGCATAATCCATCACTGGCAATAAACTTGGCCAGTCAGAACTTGAGACTTGAGACGCCCTTAAAGGAGACATGTCACAGAAAACAGGATTTTCTGTTTCTCAGTTCAAAATCTTAATAAATTAGCAAAAATATTTGAAATATTTGTGGTTATGAGGTTGCATTTACACATCAGTAATCATCAAGCGAACTTCTGAAAAAGGGATATTCGTAGCTTTTGGTAAAACTATTGAAATGTGTTAAAGAAAAAAAAAGGGCAGATGAAAAATGTCCCAAAATTTTTGGTAAAAGAAAATTATGTTTTTGTTGCAGGAAGTCAATAGCTGCCACAAAAGTGTAAAATACGACTCCTCTTTTTGGTATGTAAGGAAGTTTAAGGCCACGCTGGGCTATGGAACAGGCAATGAAACCAGAGCCAAGCATGAGGACGTCATCTTTTCAATCAATGTGCAGCACTCAGTGGAGGAGTTCTTGGCCACCTGAGCATGAAATTCAGAAAACAGAGCACACTCCATAGGTAATGATCCTTCTCCCTGTGTGCCGATGATTTAATTGAAATGTTTTAATGAACCTTGGCGCTCTGTCTCTAATAACCTCTGGTAAAGGATGTGTGCTTGTCTTCTTAATGGTTTGGGTGCAACCCCAGGGAAAATGAAATAGAAATATAGTGACCAAAATGTATAATTTTTCTGCTTATACTGCCTAAAAAACTAGAGATGCACTAGAGTGCACATGAGTCACGATGTGTGTAAAAAATGAACTACATAAAAAAAAAGAAGAACAGTACTGTACTAGTATTTGAATATATTAATAATCTTAAACTGGGACTCAGTCTGACGGCATTTCATTTCCTCCACCCCTTCTTAAAATTAATTTTTCAGTTCTCACGGAGCTTGAGAGCAAGTGATCTGTCTCTGCTTTTTTTATTAAGATTATTTAAACCATAATTATTTTCCTTCGACATCGACCATGGCATTTTAGGGTCAGTTCCGTTAGCATCTTATCATCATTATGCCAGTGAGATTAATTTCTGTTTACTGGGAAAATCTCATTTTCAGGTTGCAGACCTTTAAACCTTTATTTAATATACTGCATGTTACAAATGTGGCAACATGTTAAATCAAACACGGTATTCCCTCACTCGAAAAAGCTTGTTAAATGTTCCAATAACATAGCTAGCATTGGCAAGACAACAAGTATAGCCCACAGTGAGGCCCTTCATGTCTAATGTCTTTTTCAAAGAAGGAACTGAAGTTATAGTCATGTAATCTCAGGACTAAATTGGAAAAAAAGCTTGACGAATGGAGTGCTCCGCCGACTCCTCGCAGACTACAAAAACAGCAAGCCAAAAATTGGAAACACTGAGGAGAGGAAGTGCTTTCCTTTAAATTGCTCTGAGGGACTGAAAAAATTGAAATCTTGTGATCCTACCTGTCATCTTCCCCTTTCTGTCTTTCTGCCTCTTTTCCCAATTTCTCCCTAATCTTTTGTTGTCTTCATCCATATGGCACTGAAGCGCCAGTAAAAAATCAGCATAGCAAACTCAATCAAGTCAAATTCAGACAGAAACAAAGACAAAATAAGGAATAAAGCGTGTACTTAGGCAAGTCAAAAGATAAATCATTTAATGCTGCAAATGGGAGGGGGGGGGGGGGTTAAGAGATGAGATTAGCTTGTGTTTGCTAATTTCGCTTAAAAACTGGAAAGTGTATTTTTAAGGATTAACCACCTGCTACAACATGAAAACACAAATGCCATGGAGAACGAAAGTCAAATCGGCAGTGAAATTCAGTGATCTTCTGTAATTTACTCAGTCTAGGGCTCAGAACAAAGCTAACAGATGTTTGATTTCTTAATCTGAGAAAACAAGAGCAGTTCATTACACTGTTGATTTATTTCCACTTTCTCCACCAATGTTTTTATTAATTTCTGAAAACTTGGTATTGGTATTATTCCTGTTTTACAACTGAGAGACCGTAACATTTTGATTGTAACAATCATGGAAAACAAATGAATGTGGCAAAATACAATCATCAGTGGCTTCAACTTTGTCTGTCCGTCTTAGAATTTGGATTCTCTGCAGATAGCGGCAGAAGCTTTGGGTCAAGGGCTCGACGTTTCTTATTAAAATGTCAAGGGCAATCACAGGATAAACATGCTCCTGTACCTGGTTAGCAGAAAAGGCAGCCAATACAAATCAGAATGAAGTAACAGCACTGATTTAGTATTAACAATGACATCTGGAGAGGATAGGGGGTGGAGGGAAAGAAACAGAGTGAGTGGAGATGTGCTGTTTGATCTTCCTGTCATGTCTGTAAATGAGTCTGATAGCAAAGCTCCCTCCCATTCAATGATCACCGCAGAGGTCTTAGGGCAGAGTAAAGGAAGCCAGAGAAATGATTTTCTTGCTCTGGAGAGACGGCATTTAGGTTAAAGCTTTAGCATTGATTTGAATGTTTTTGCTCCTGGCCAAACTGAAAGGTACATCCCTTCGTGCTGTCTGAGGAAGCCCCTTTGATGAATAGTTATATAAAAAATATGATGAATTTAAGAACTTAAGGTGATAGTGTTGACAAGAAAACGACAAGTGTTTCTTGTCATTGCAGGATTTTGGGCCAGTACGATACAGATAAATAAATCATTAAATTATTGCATTATTTATTAATTTTTTATGTACTTGAAATTAAATATAGTATCACCACTAAACTTCAACAGACTGTAGAGCAAGCATAGACGTGATTCAGCCATGAAAGCACAACACTTTATCCAAAACAATAATCGATGTTTGACATCAAGTGAAGGTTTTAAATTTCTACAGCTCATTGAAATTGTATATGCAAAACAAGTTACAATGTATTATAAGAAAGGTAACTCTAATGGGAGCACTGAATCTAAATAAAAAGCAGTTTCTTACATAACATATTCACATAACAGATAGGTTCCATCTCTCACAGAG